GGGGGGGCTGGAAGGTGTTCTATTGTAGAAAACCACGAATCGTATATTTATATTTTTCGCGTTTCAAATTGATATTACCTTATGAAGGCCTTTTCAGCTGTCTGCACTTTGCAGTTTATATCTTCTTTTCGTCTGTTTTCTAATGTAGAGATTGAGAGCAAGTTCAAACCAAAAATGTCATTAAAAAACAAATTGACTTTGTTCCTGACAGAGGTAAAAAATTGCTATGGTCACTCAAACACAGAAATATGTACATGTGTCCTCTATCAAATGCTTATGATAAAGTTAGATAAGATGAAATATTTAACATTTTGGAAGAGGCAGAAAAGATTTAAGAAATAATAGAAATATATGCTGTGCCCCGAATACTACTTTCTGCACAAGGAATACAAAACAAAACGAAAAGGTAAAAGAGCAAGGCAATATTCTGTGATGACATCCACGAAGCAATTTTTCGAATAAAGAAGACAGTACATGTCTCGAAGTGAATTTCGAAAATATTCTTGACATCAAATATGCCAAAAACACAGTGATAGTTAATTCACAAATGGACTTTCAGACGCATCTAGACACTGTAGGGACTGAAATTAAACTTGATATTATTTTATATAGAGAAGAAAACAAAATAAGAAATAACTATTATTTCTTTTAAAAAGTGAAAGCAAGCAGTGAAATCCAATGTGATATCTTAAGCAAAGGCGAAAAAAATTTAATAAGTTCAAAAGTTTAAATAGCAGAGAAATTTAACATTAAATCTCATAGCAAATATACTTCGGAAATAAAAAGGAAGAACGGCAATACATACGACTGTTTGCTTTTGTAATGAGTCAAATCCCAAAAAATACATACATTTCAAGAACAGAAGAAAGAAAGCTTCTGAAAAATTAATTTTAGTTTTCCCTTCTACACGGATGTGAAAGCTAGACAATCATTAAAGATGGCGAAAATAAACAGGACAACAGCAATATAATTCTTTAGGAGGACTGTTGAGAAGTTCAAGAAAGGAAAAGAAATTAAATTAACAAAGTAATGCTCATAAAAGCCCGGGTATGGCGATCACTAATTAAAAAACAACAACACACATATTGTAAGAAATATACAAATCCGGTTCCAAGGACACTTGGGTCGACATAATGCCTTGAACATCTTGCCCTCATTGAAATAATAAAAGGTAATAAAAGAAGAGGTTGACCAGGAATACTTTATTGTGAGAATTTGAACAGATGGATGACGAGAAAAGATCAGGACAATATCGGGCATTTGACGCAACTGATCGGAGAAATGAGTCGCGAACAGTGATCCCCGAAATCTTGTTTCAGATTTGGCACAATAAGACGAAGAACAAGAACAACAAGAATAACAAGAGCAAGAACAACAACAAGCACAAGGACAAGAACACGAACACAAACACAAACAAGAGCGTCATCAGACATCTGTAGATTTTGAACACAATGAGGACATTCAAGAGAAGGGACCTCTGGAATTTACGTCCATTTCCGACTGGAAAGAACCAAATGGGGGAAGATCCTTAAAAGCTCCCCCAAATAAACGTAAGGCAGAATTCCACTTTGGGGATTCCCACCAGGGCCATTCGTTGCGAGAAACCAATAGGAGAAGAAGAAAAAGAAGAAGAAGAAGAAGAAGAAGAAGAAGAAGAAGAAGAAGAAGAAGAAGAACAACAACAACAACAACAACAACAACAACAACAACAACAACAACAACAACAACAACAACAACAGAACTTCCGGTTGGCAAATAATCATGGCGGCAGGTTTTATTTACTCTCTTCAGTGAACCTCATTTTTTCTACTTAATCTGAGGCAGAGGCTCGATCTACGATTCAATATTGTTTCTACGAGATTCACCTAATATTCATGGTCACCAATCATCGGTTTGGATTGGAATCATTGTCTTAATTCTAAAGACTGCTGTTTAGTCACGGTATTCACTAGATTCTAGATGGCAACAGCACATATCTCGGCCGGAGGTGTGACATTAGTTACAAAACAAGAGGAGTGATGATCGCGCCAACAGGCAGCCTTCTGTGCTCCTCTTAATTTGTGGTGTTCCTGACTGTTTTTAATTCCTGGATATTTTTTAAAAGTTATAGATCTACCATCATGTGCATTTAGTTTCGGCAATTAATGTGATAACTTTGTCCTTGAAATAAAGAAAAAACAACAACAAACTTCCGGTTGGCAAATAATCATGACGTCAAGTTCTTATTTATTCTCTACAGTGAACCTCATTGTTTCTGCTTAATCTGAGGAAGAAGCTCGATCTAAGATTCACGATTTTTTCTACGAGCTTCCCTTAATCTTCATGGTCACCAATCATCGGTTTGAATGGACAGTGTAGAGATATTCACCGAAAGGGAAAATAGAACAACATACTCCCCAGACACTCTGTTGTTATTTCGACCAATGAACCATGTCTTTATATCTCCCAATGTTATGAGGAAACTAAGAGAAAACAATCTAAATAGGATCCCAAAAACTACACGGTCAAAGAGAGGAGGGAAAAGAACATTACAATTTGAAATATCTCAGAGTAAAAACCCAGGTCAAACAAAAGGACACCAAACACACCAGATAAAACTAATTACAAAAGACCCCCCTATATGCCACACGCGGACGAAGGAAGTATACAGGGCATTTTCCTTAAAACGAGAGGCTCTTATTATGTCCCGCAGTGACCAGTCATTACTGGCAAAAATCAGGACCGGTCATTTCTCTGGGCTTCGGGCCTACAAAAATAAAATAGACAAAACATCGGACCCAATATGTCCATTGTGCAGCGAGGAGCCCCAAGATTTGGAGCACTGGCTGCAGAGATGTCCCACCACGGAGGCCCGGCGGTGGCATCTCTTCGGGGAGGATTCAGGGAGGTTGGACTGCCTCACCCGCTACCCAAGGGAGGCGGTGGCCCTGGCGAAGAGCACACTCTTCGGGGCTCCGAACATTTCGAACGGATAGGCTACCACACACACACACACACACACACAACAAAACAACAACAACGAGTACGGAGACACCCGAAAACCAAGAAAAACAAGAAAAACAAGAAAAACAAGAAGAAGAAAAATAACAAAAAGAAGAATGAGAAAAAGAAAAGTAGAGGGGGGGTTGTTTTGCTGGATATTTGAGGGCACTGTTAGATATAAAGTAGTACTCGCTCCAGATAAGCTGATAGATAGATAGATAAATAGATAGATAGATAGATAGATAGATAGATAGATAGATAGATAGATAGATAGATAGACATATAAATAAACAGAGAGACAGAGAGACAGAGAGACAGAGATACAAAGAAATGTTCCATAAATTGATTCCTTAGTTGGAATCTTCAGCAACATCCGCAGTGGTCGACCATCTTGTAAAGTGATACTCCCAAACACTGTTTGAAGTCAAACTTCTGCAGGCAAAGCAAACGCTGCGCTGCCATCAGTAAAATATACCTGAAAGAAAAACGATAGGTTCGCTTAACTATCATACCAAAATCTCAGTATAATTTTAACAATGTAATAAATAAAGTTCCCATATAAAGGGCATGTTCACCAAGAAAGTATCTAACTATCTATCTCTCAGAAGAAGAAGAAGAAGAAGAAGAAGAAGAAGAAGAAGAAGAAGAAGAAGAAG